GGGGGGGGGGTCCAGGAATATACCATTAATTCTTGCCTGAATGAGATAGTCTTCATAGCGTTTCGATAGTGAAATATTTTCCTTAAAATTAACTCCAACGAAATTAATTTCTTGTGTTTTCTCCTTATCCTGCAAATTTTCTAAATTCACTCTCATTTCGTTTGGATTCAATCGGAGAAAGTAAAATTGTGTTTACACTGAGCGTACACTTGTACGGCACATGTTGAGGTTACAGTGTACAACTGTCTGTCTGAGATCATTGAGTACATTTATCTATCTTTTCCGTTAGCCAGGCCTACCACACAGTGTAGTGTGTGTACAGTGTACACTATACGTAATGGTTTTACCAGAGCTGAGAGGTTACGGTGTAGGTTTATCCTCGTTTTCTGGTTTTTTGGTATTTTGTTTTCTGCTTACCTTCATAGTTTTTGTACCTACGATTTCTTTTTTGTCGTCTATTACTGAATTTACTTTACTGAATTATAACATCCAAAAAATGTGTCATTTATCAATACTTATGATTATTTTTTATAAATAGATGAGGCTCTATGCAAAACTTATAAAATCAGAATGTAGGGTCTGTCATATAGTGAACGATTTTTGGACCTGTTAACTCCAGTTCTCCTACTTTCTATCTGTAAACTCCAGTTCGCTTACTTTCTCTCTGTTAAGTCCAGTTCTCCTACTTTCTATCTGTAAACTCCAGTTCTCTTACTTTCTATCTGAAATCTAGGATCTCCATCTTTCTATCTGCTAACTCCAGTTCTCCTACTTTCTATCTGTAAACTCCAGTTCTCTTACTTTCTATCTGAAATCTAGGATCTCCATCTTTCTATCTGCTAACTCCAGTTGTCCTAATTTCCATATGTAAACTCCTGTTTTCCTAATTTCTGACTTTCTCCTACTTTCTATCTGTAAAACTTTAGTTTTCCTACATACCTGTGAACTCCAGTTCTCATACTTTCTATATGTTATTTTACAGGCATATTAGTAAAGATAATAAGATGAGAAACAATTTTAACAGGTATTTCAGGCCATTTATTCAATTCTTTTTTCGTCGTGTCCTTCATCCCTTGATGCTTTTATTACATCTCAAAAATTTCCTTGGGGGGGCGGAGCTCAGTGTGGGGCTCTCCCCTAATCCACCCACGATATATAAACATAGACAGATGGATATTAATTCTAGGATATTATGATTCATAATTACCTAGAATTTGATGTATACCGTTTATGAATTAATAATATCATAATATTTTTAATAAAAAATACTAATGTATACTAGAATTAGATTCATAAAGTTTAAGATAATATGTGATAAATGTGAATACGCTGCAAAACAAGCATTTGTATAAATATTTTGCTTTGTCTTTTTATAAATTTATCAACGACTGAACTGACCCCTGCAGGAAGATTATCGAAATTGAAAAGTTTTACTTGGAGATTTATTTTGTACGAAAATTCACTAATTAAAACAGAAATCCGAAAATTTTTGTTTATTATTATCATTAATTATTTCAGAGAGAATGGCTGGAAACATGAAGAAGGAGGAAATGAAAATGGATAATATTGAGATTAAAGAAGAGACCCAAGAAGAAATCTTTCCATCCTCTACTATTGAGGATACATGTAATACATGTACTGTAGAGGATACATGTATTGTTTATATGAAGGAAGAAGATGTAAAAATTGAATCTCAAGGTACACTCTTACTAAATACTAATGTAATCTATGGATCTAAGGTCTTTTATTAAATAGATTTGAAAGACTTTCTAGACAACCTTGAATCAATTAAATCTTTGATGAAAGGTGACTCAGTATCTTAAAACGTGATTTAGTTAAGTGGGGGGCGGGGCGGGGGGGAAGAAGAAATATTTTTACTCAACTCAAGATTCCATGATTCACCGGACTGAAAGAATAACTATTAATATTAATTTCATTAGATAAAATTATGTGTGCATTATTATGAAAATAATCATCTGATATGGCGTTTTTGAAAAATTTACTGAAAGTATGATATTTACTTCCTTAATGTAAGCATTATCCGTAATCTTGACAAACTAATTATATTTATGCTCCAAAGCATCTAATGCTTCATTGAAGTAAACATTATTCTTAATCTTAACAAATTCTTGATAACCATTCTCTCTGGCCTCTCGTCTAGCTTTGAATCTAACTATTCTAAATGAAGCATCTTGACTTCAAGCTAATTCTCCAATAATTCCTTGTTTTCTATATTTCCTGATTACAGTTGTTTTCCACCGCTAAATCATTTTCAAACACTTTCATGTCACGTTGAGGTTCAAGTATACACGTTTACAGACACTCCAGACTTAGAGATAATCAATAATCACAATCAAGAATAATATTAATAATTTTTTGTTCTTGCATGTTTTATTTATTTAGATCGAAACATTGAAGAAGATCCTCTGCTTTGGTCAGAAAGAACCAAAAATTGGAAATTAGAAGGAAGAAGATTTCCTTGTGATAAATGTGAGTTCGTTTCAACTACTAAATTTGATCTAAAAAGACATATTGGTAAGAAACATGAAGGAGTGAGGTATCCCTGCAATAAATGTGAATACGCTGCAACTGAAGCAAAATCTCTGAAAGTTCATATCAAAAGTAAACATGAAGGAGTGAAATATCCCTGTGATAAATGTGATCACGTTGCGACGAACGCAAGTAATTTAAGAACACATATGAAGAGTCAACATGAAGGCGTGAAATACCCTTGTGAAAAATGTGAGTACACTACTACTTCAGCGTATAATCTTAAATCACATATTAAGATTAAACATGAAGGATTAAGATATCTTTGTGATAAATGTGAGTACTCAGCAACTACAGCAAGTCACCTTAAAGTTCACACTAAATGTAAACATGAAGAAGTGAAATATCCCTGTGATATCTGTGAGTACGTAGCAACTGTAGCGGGTTATCTTAAAAGACATAAAGAGAGTAAGCATGGAGAATTAAACTATTTTTGTGATATATGTGAGTACGTTTCAGCTACTAAACGGGATCTAAAAAAACATATTGAGTATGAACATGAGGGAGTAAGATATCTCTGTGATAAATGTGAGTACGCAGCAAAGACAGCCGGTAATCTTAAAGAGCATAAAGAGATAAAGCATGAAGGACGGAGATTTCACTGTGACAAATGTGAGTATTTTGCAACTACAGCATCTAATCTCAGAAAGCATGTTGAAGGTAAACACGAAGGCTTGAGATATCCTTGCCATGAATGTGAGTACTCTGCAGCAAGAGTAAGCGATCTTAAAAAGCATATTAAGCTTAAACATGAAGGATTAAGATATCCCTGTAATAAATGCGAGTTCTCTGCAGCTTCGGCATTGTATCTTAGAACACACATTGAGAACAAACATGAAGGAGTGAGTTATCCCTGTACTCAATGTGAGTTTAAAGGACCTTCACCAGTAATTCTGAAAAGACATATTGATAGTAAACATGCTGGAGTAAGAATAAGATATCCCTGCGATAAATGTGAACACGCTGCACATACGGTAAGTGCTCTTAAAGTTCATATTGAGAGCAAACATGAAGGAGTTAGATATCCGTGTAATACATGTGACTTCACTGCAACTCGAGCAAGTGAAGTAAAGGAACACATAAAAAGAAAACATGAAGGAGTTAAATATGCCTGCGATATATGTGAGAAGACTTACTCTATGGCTAGTAGTCTCAAAAACCATATTCAGACCCAACATGAAGGAGTGAGATATCCTTGCACCAAATGCAATTATGTTGCATCTTCAGCTGGTAGTCTTAGAAGACACAATGAGTGTGAACATGAAGTAGTGAGATATCAATGTGATAAATGTGAATACGCTGCAAAACAAGCATCTCATCTTAAAAGGCACATAGAGAGTTTACATGAAGAAGTAAGATATCCATGTAATAAATGTGAGTTCCTTGCAGCGGACACAAATAGTTTAAACAAACATATCCAGAACAAACATGAAGGAGTTAAATATCCTTGTGATAAATGTGACTATGCTGCAACAAGTACAAGTAATTTAAAAAGACATATTATGAGTAAACATGAATGATTGAGATATTCTTGTGAGAAATGTGAGAACGCTGTTGCAACCAACTATTCTCAGAAATGATGTTTATCCTGGAAAGGTTTGATATTGATGTAATCAATGTGAGTGTGCTGCAGCAAAAAAGGGAACTTACGAAGATTATAAAGGAAAACTTCAATATTTATGATTTTTTAGTTTGAAATTATTTTTATCTTTTTTGTGTTATACAGCAATTTTTTCTCATCTCACACTTTTCCAGATGAAATGACCGGAAAATGAAAAATGAATTAAAAAAAGAAGAATTTGTGATGAAAGAAGAGAATGTTTCTATCAAGGGAGAAGAAATTACCCACTCTACTGACGAGGATTCATCTACTGTACGGGATACATGTACTATAGAAGATACATGTACTGTTTATATGAAGGAAGAAGATGTAAAGAATGAATCTCAAGGTTAATACTCGTATTATCAATAGAACTATGGCTCTTTCTTTCTGTTTAACAGAGTTGGAGGTTTTTCCAGTCAATAAAATATTAGTCAAAGGGTGATTCAGTATCCTAAAATATTTGAAGTGGATACATTTCGTCAATTTACATCTGATCAACATGACATTTCATCCACTCCTACAGTTCGTTAATTTACATCTGGTAAACATGACATTTCATCCACTCCTACAGTTCGTTAATTTACATCTGATCAACATGACATTTCATCCACTCCTACAGTTCGTTAATTTACATCTGATCAACATGACATTTCATCCACTCCTACAGTTCGTTAATTTACATCTGATCAACATGACATTTCATCCACTCCTACAGTTCGTTAATTTACATCTGGTAAACATGACATTTCATCCACTGCTACAGTTCGTCAACTGTTACACAACATCAACTGATACATATCATCCCAACTTTTACGAACACATGAATTTAGTCAACTTTGTAATTTTGCTTGACTAGTTTTCTTCTTCCTGCAATACAATTCAAATATTTACAAATCCTCTGTTTGATGGTGCTCATCCTCGACATGGATGATGCTACTGCTATTGGAATCGTTCTCGAGGGTGTTGGCTAGCTCCGCCATTACTGCTCTGTAGGTTAAGGCTATGTTCCAGGCTTCATTTTTAACAGCCTTCTGCTCCGCCATTTTAACTCACTTCTTAACTAGCATAATTTCTCTCTATCGTGGAAGCAGTTGCAGTATATCCCAGTGAATCACGTAGCCTACAAACCCAGTATCTGACACCACACTCATTCTTCTCACTTTTAAACGTGTTTTCAAAGTTTTGACGATCTACCAGATTTTTCTTTTTTTACTGGACAAGATAAACTTAACCCGATCCCAGTTTTCCATGTTGAATTTGAGAACTGACTGAAATCTAGAGTTTTTTTTGCGGAATTTGTGCGCCAATGTTCGCGGATTTTTTTTTCTGATGCTCACGCTGGGAATTAGTTTTCCAATATGAAAGTTTGCCAAAATTATGGTCATTGCCACAGTTAACGCAAATGTATTAATTGGCGAAATTTAAATTGCCCAAATGTAGTAACTGACGAAATGTGAGTTATACCAGATTTAAATTGACGTAATGTATCCACACCAAATAAATTTAGATGAAGGGGAGGGGGGAAGAGAAATTATTTACACAACTGAAGATAAAAATAAGATAAAGTATAACTTATTAATTTCAAATTAGATTAAATTAGTGCTGCATTATTATTAAAAACAATCATTAGACTTAACTCCAATAAATCTCCGTTTTCTATATGTCCCGGTCACAGTTTTCGCTAAAATCTTCATTTTCAATGTTATGGCACTTTCTTACACATTTTATGTATTTAGAGCTAAGCAAAGCAGAAAATCCTTCTAATTGGTCAGAAAGAAACAAAAAGAGGAAATTAGAAGGAAGGAGATTTCCTTGTGATAAATGTGAGTTCGCTTCAACTACTAAATTTGATCTAAATAGACATTTTGATGAGACTCATGAAGGAGTGAGGTATCCCTGCAATAAATGTGATTACGCTGCAACTAAAGCAAGTTCATATCAAGAGTAAACATGAAGGGGTGAAATATCCCTGTGAAAAATGTGAGCATGTTGCGACGAACGCAAGTAATTTAAGAGCACATATTAAGAGTCAACATGATGGCGTGAAATATCACTGTGATACGTGTGAGTATACCACAACTTTTATAAGCTCAGAACACATATCAAGATTAAACATGAAGGAGTAAGGTATCCTTGTGATAAATGTGAGTATTTTGCAACTTCAGCAAGGCGTCTAAAAGTTCATACTGGCATTAAGCATGAAGGAGTGAGATATCCTTGTGATAAATGTGAGTATACTGCATATACGGTAAGTGCTCTGAAAGTCCACATCGCAAGTAAACATGAAGGAGTGAAATATCTCTGTGATAAATGTGAGCATGTTGCAACAAACGCAGGTAATTTAAGAAACCATATTAAGAGTAAACATGATGGCGTGAAATACCATTGTGATAAATGTGATTTTACTACAACTTTAGTTTACAATCTTAGAACACATATAAAAATTAAACATGAAGGAGTTAGATATCCTTGTGATAAATGTGAGTATTCTGCAACTTCAGCAAGTCATCTAAAAGTTCATACTGACAGTAAACATAAAGGAGTGAGATATCTTTGTGATAAATGTGAACACGCTGCACATACGGTAAGTGCTCTCAAAGTTCATATTGAGAGCAAACATGAAGGAGTTAGATATCCGTGTAATACATGTGACTTCACTGCAACTACAGCTGGTGAAATAAAGGAACACATAAAAAGAAAACATGAAGGAGTTAAATATAACTGCGATATATGTGAGAAGACTTACTCTATGGCTAGTAGTCTCAAAAACCATATTCAGACCCAACATGAAGGAGTGAGATATCCTTGCACCAAATGCAATTATGTTGCATTTTCAGTCTTCAGTCTTAGAAGACACAATAAGTGTGAACATGAAGTAGTGAGATATCAATGTGATAAATGTGAGTACGCTGCAAAACAAGCATCTCATCTTAAAAGGCACATAGAGAGTTTACATGAAGAAGTGAGATATCCATGTGATAAATGTGAGTTCCTTGCAGCGGACACAAATAGTTTAAACAAACATATCCAGAACAAACATAAAGGAGTTAAATATCCTTGTGATAAATGTGACTATGCTGCAACAAGTACAAGTAATTTAAAAAGACATATTATGAGTAAACATGAATGATTGAGATATTCTTCTGAGAACGCTGTTGCAACCCAATATTCTTAGAAATAAAAGTTACCCTGGAAATGTTTGATAGGTACCAGTACAAACGTCGGACGGTACAAACATAAGACTTACAAATGTCGGACCGTACAAACGTTGGACCAGTACAAACGTCAGACCAGTAGAAACATTGGACCAGTACAAACGTCAGACTGGTACAAACGTCGGACCAGTAGAAACGTCGGACGGGTACACTTATAAGGGAAAACGTCGGACTAAAAAGGAAAAAATATATTCCCAATTTTTTTTGTTAAAAATTCATAATCTCACAAAGTCTGGATCCATGGACGAGGAGACTGCTAACTATATTGAGGTCAAGCAGGGGGTACGGCACCTGCTTGATTCAAATCAGTTACAAAGAAGAAACCCTACAAAACCTATTACCAATGCATTCAAAGGAAAAACAATTCTTGTCCTGCAGGAGCAGTTGTAAACAATGAGAATGACAAGATTATCAGTTTCCTGGGAGAGCATTCACATGACAGTGATCTTTTGAAGAAAAGAGTACGTGAAATAGAAAAACAAGTAGTTAAAGAAAGCTCTGGAAATATAGCAATAAGTCCACGAACTGTTCTTGGAAACATGACCAACATGGTAAGCACACTTACCAACGAAGAGGTGAGGGCCATGAGGAAGTCAAATACCTTAGTACAGGCAGTCAAGAGAGCAAGAGTAGAACATTTTGGGTTTACCAAGGTCCCCAAAAGCTGGAATGATATGTCTGTACCTCAACATCTTGAGACAACAATCCGTGGAGACAGATTTCTAGCAATCAATGAGCATCTTGGAGATGAGAACTCTGAGAGAATCATCATATTTTGCAGCAGTGAGCAACATAACGTTCTTAAGTCGGCAAAATACTGGGTGGCTGATGGTACTTTTGATGTTGTGAAGAAAACCTTGTTCTATAAATTGTTTATTATCACTGCTGTCACAGCTACAGGTATCACTGTACCCTGTTGTTTTGCACTCCTTCCAAATAAGGAGACTTCAAGCTACCAAAGGGTCTTCCAGTATCTTAAAGATGCAAATGTAACCCCACCAGGCAGTTTGAAGACAGATTTTGAGAAGGCAATCATGCGAGGATTCCTGAACTGTTATCCCGACGTGCCTGTAATGGGCTGTGACACCCATTTTAATAAAGCCATTAGGAGGAAACTGACTTCAACTGAGCTTGGATTCGGAAGTTTGTACCAGAATAATGTAGACTTCCAAACTCTGGTTCGCTATCTTTGGGGTCTTTCTTTAGTTCCAGAAGAGGATATTGTTAGAACCTGGGAAGATGTGATCAGTTTTCCCTGAGTCTAAAACTAAAGAATGCGCAAATTTTAAGTTCGAGGTTAAAAGATCTGTAAAATAATGAATACCTACTTAAATATTATTAACTTTCTCAATTTTAAATTCGAATTTCCCGGAAAAAATCTGAACAAATCAGAGAAAAGGAGTTACGGAGAATTATTACGTAACTATCGGTAATCAGCTGCTTTTTAAATTTAAAATTATTTACGTGACGGAAAACAAAACATATTTCCAGTTACAACCGTATTTTGGGTTTACGTGCAAACATTAATTTATCTAAAACGTGAAATTTATTAAATCAAGGTTTTTACTGGTAAATATATCGTAATTAGTTGAATGCCGCTTACCGCTGAATGATGATAGACAAAAAGGGATTTCAAGATTTTAACTGTGTTTAAATTTTAACGTGTCGATTTCGGCGATTTAAATATTTAACCACAGGGTTAAATATTTAACCTCACGGTTAAAGTTCAGGTTTAAATTAAGTCAGAAGTGGCATTTAACCATAAACTTAACATTTAAGTCAAAACTTTTCGTTCTTTAGTTTTAGACCTGAACTGATAAATATTCTTCTTATTTTATTGTACCTGAAGATACTACTGGAAGATTTTAAACCTTAAATACTTTTTTAGTATAAGAATAAGCTTTGTGACAGTAATTATGGCGTGGAATGAATGTTACCAAAGCGGTTCATGGACTGCTGTAAGCCATGATTCAATCATTTTACCTCTTAACATTAGGGTTTGTCCTGTTGAACCGTCTCCGCCAAGATAAACTCTTGAAACCCGGACATTAGCTATTGGGCCTTTTGCTTTAAACTCAGAAATAAACTTGGAAATATATAAATCTCTTCTGAGCTTGGCTGCTATTGGGCACTCAAATATAACATGCGATTCAGATAACTTAATGTTGAGGCCCAACAACTCGCAGTGGGGGCAAACATCATAAATAAATCCATAACGGTTTTTATACCTGTTACCCAATTGAGCATTACCACCCCCTGATTTGGCATAAATTTTTTTTTTATCATTAACGGTTTTGTAGTTTAAACCAATTCCAAGGTTGGGGGGTTGTAATTAAAGGGAGTGTTCGCAAAAAATGAAAGGGGGTATAGGCTTAATGCGATAAAAAAGCGCTTTTGATCGCTACTAATTTTACTTCTATCTGTTGCGTCTATAAGGAGAAAATTGTTAAAAACGACTCACACCGAAGAACGTAGTGTTTATTCAAATTTGGAAAGATGCAACATTCAACTGGGATCGTATAAAATTTATTTAATTCCCAACAAATCATTCAGATATTACAAACAATAGTCATCGATTATTTTTCGACGCATTCGTAAATAGTTGATATTTCATAGTATTTTGTATTTTTCATGATCTGAGAGTTACATTTTTTCCTGTTTTGAGGATTTTTGATAATGAAGACGACATTTTCAAATTTTCCAGGAATGTTCGAAAATCCAGCGCCAGCGAAAATTAATCTAAAAAAACAAAATCAAAAATATTATGAAATATTAACTATGTATGAATGCGTCGAAAAATAACCGATGACTATTGTTTGTAATATCTGAATGATTTGTTGGGAATTAAATTGATTTGTTTACGATCCGAGTTGAATGTTGCATCTTTCCGAATTTGTATGGGCGCTGCGTTCTTCGGTGTGAGTCGTTTTTAACAATTTTCTCCTTATAGACGCAACAGATAGAAGCAAGATTAGCAGCAATCAAAAGCGCTTTTTTATCGCATTAAGCCGATACCCCCTTTCATTTTTCGCGAACACTCCCTTTAAGGGGGAATGTTGCCTTTTAAAATTTATTACATATGCTACTGCATTTCGTGTAACAGCGGTTTGTAGGAGCTGTTTTGTCTTATACTTGAAGATATTACCCACCATTGCTTCAATTTACCTCCATGATTTGGTCCATGGGTCCGATGGGTTATCTAGTTGCTCCAGTGTGGGATTATTTTTTGTTTTAAAAATATCAAAGAAAACCCGGACTGTCTCAAATAAACTCTATACTGCATAGGCATTAATCCTGCATCCATACAGGCTAGTGCTCTTGAAGTCGAAGCGGGTACTTGTAAAATAAAATCTTCCTCTACAATATTTTGTATTATACCATATCTGTTCTGTTCCATAGTAGTAAACCTATCGTGTAAGAATTTCCATTATTACACGGTTCAGGAGGAACAATTTTAATATTGTTTGCTTCCATGTGTTTAAGAATCCTTATTCTTACACTGTAGGTGCAGAATTTTAATTCTTTAACGCTTAGGCCGTGTAAGAATGGAAATTATTACACGATCAGAGCGTGAAAGAATGTTTATTCTTACACGCTCCGAGCAAGAATGAAAATTATCACACTTGTTGAAGAATATTCATTCTTACACGCTCCTTATGTTGATCTTTTCAACATAAATCAATATTGATATTAGCTTAAATATTTTTTACTGACAACATGCACAGGGCAAACTCACCTTTTTCTTTTATCTCAATACATGCAAACTTACCTTTTTATACTTCAGAAAACATGCTCACTTACCTTTTTAATTTTTTTTAAGTATTGGTATATATTAATTGATAAATCTGTAAAAGATAAACTTTTTAGTGTTTAATCATTTCAGAGAGAATGGCTGAAAACGTAAAAGAAGAAGGAAAGATGGAAGATATTGAGATTAAAGAAGAGACTCAGGAAGAAATCCTTTCATCTACAGTAGAGGATGTGTATACTGTAGAGAATACATGTACTGTAGAGGATGTATGTACTGCAGAGAACACATGTACTGTAGAGGATGTTTGTACCGTAGAGAACACATGTACTGTAGAGGATGTTTGTACTGCAGAGAACACATGTACTGTAGAGGATGTGTGTACCGTAGAGAATACATGTACTGTAGAGGATGTATGTACCGTAGAGAACACATGTACTGTAGAGGATGTGTGTACTGCAGAGAACACATGTACTGTAGAGGATGTATGTACTATTTATGCAAAGGAGGAAGATTTTAAAATGAGAGAAGATTTTAAAACGGAAGAAACTGAAGGTAAACCCTAATAACTCTTATTTATGATCAATGTTAAAACTAAAATTATCTCTATTTTATTTCTGGTAATAATCTTTTGTTTTTCTTAGAACCGCGTAAGATAACAACAATTAATCAACATTGCGGATTTTTACATTATCAATGTTAGATTTTCAGAAAAAAAACATCTTTTTTAAACCATAAACCATTCCCGGGGTACACTGAGCTACCACAGAAAAATCACTAAATTGGTTTAGTCATTTTGACGTTTACTGGATACAAAAAACAGAAAAAAAACTTGTTTAAATTATTTTTTTGTCTGTTGCTTCCTTTGAATCCAATAAACATTAGAAAATGTCTATTTCAATCAGGTTTCAACTTTTTTTTGTGGTACCGTACAAATATCGTTCTTAAATTGATTTAAAGCAGTTTTAAATTCATGTAATTTTTTAGGATTCAGTCCAAATCATGGAGAAGATCCTCTACTCACAGAGGGGACTAAAAAGAGAAAACAAGAAGAAAGAAGATATCTATGTAGTAAATGTGATTACGCTGCAACTAGAGCAAGTAATCTTAGAATACATTTCGAGAGTATACATGAAGGAGTGAGATATCCTTGTGATAATTGTGATTACACTGCAACTCAATCAAGTTCTCTTACAATACATATTAAGAGTAAACATGAAGGTGTCAGATATCCCTGTGATAAATGTGACTACAAAGCTAAAACTGCAAATGATCTAAGAATACATTGTAAGAGTAAACATGAAGGAGTAAGGTATTCCTGTGATAAATGTGAGTTCACTGCTACAGCACTTAGCACCATTAAAACCCATAATAAGAGCAAACATGAAGGAGTGACACATCCTTGCAATAAATGTGAGTACGTTTCAATGACAGCAAGTAATCTTAAAACTCATATCAAAATCAAACATGAAGGAGTCAGTTATCCGTGCGATAAATGTGAATTTTTTGCAACTAGAGTAGGTGTTCTGAAAAGACATAAAAAGAATTTACATGGAGAAGTCAGATATCACTGTAATATATGTGAGTACGCTGCAACTTCCACCGGTGATCTTAAAAAACATGCTGAGAGGAATCATGAAGGGTATCGATATAGTTGTGATAAATGTGACTACGTTGCAACAAGATTAAGTGGTCTTAAAAGACATATTAAGAGTTTACATTTAGGAGTGAGATATCCCTGTAATAAATGTGAGTACACTGCATCTACGACAGGTTGTCTTAGGATACATATTGAGAGTAAACACGAAGGAGCTAGATATCTTTGTGATAAATGTGAGTATTATTCAAGTACAGCAAATGGTCTTAAAAGACATATTGAGAGTAAGCATGACGGAGTTAGATATCCATGTGACAAATGTGAGTATGCTGCAACTTGCACAAGTGACCTCAAAACTCATATTGAAAGTAAACATTTAGGAGTAAGGTATCCTTGTGATAAGTGTGAGTACGCTGCAACTCAATTATCTGCCCTTAGAATACATATTAGGGCTAAACATGAAGGTGTAAGATATTATTGTGATAAATGTGAATACACTGCTGTAGCATCCAGTAGTATTAAATCTCATATTGAGAGCAAGCATGAAGGAGTAACTTATCCTTGTGATAAGTGTGAGTACACTGGAACTAGACCGCAAGATGTTAAAAGACATAAAAAAAGGAAACATGATCTTTTAATTATTTCTTCAAGTTGAAGTAAATTATGCTAACCAGACCTAGAAACTAAACAATCTAAGTAACCTTAAAGGTATTTAAATCTTAAGTGTTTCTTGCTTTCAGAACGTTTTTTAAAACGTTCATGAACTGAAAGTTTAAAATTGGATACCTATAATTCTGATTGATTAATCTGAATATCCTATGTGGACACTTTTAATTTCCTTGACCAATAAGAGTTCTCTAATTAAATAGCGCGCGCATGTTGATACAAACTTAATATTATTTATCTTGAAATAAAAAAAGAAGATCAAGCATTGATCTTGATATCCACAATTCTTAAGTTTTCAGTGCTGTTCAATTATTTATATATTAATAAATAACTTTCATTTGTTTACTTTCCAATCGGTAGGCAGACCGCATTTTAGAAATTGGAGAACCAGGATTGTTGTAAGATTAAGTTGTAAAAAAAGGCGTAAACAAGAACAAATAAAGTGTGGCATAACTTTAAATCAGAACCTTTGTTTATATTTATGTTTATGTTATTTTGTCTCCAATTATATTATAATTTGGTTTGAATATATTAGGAGCTCCTTTACAGGGGGTGAGGGGGGGGGGGGTTGAACTAGTGATGCTGTATAAGCCGACCTAGATGATTCTAACCTAAAGGTTTTCTAATCTAATATATCGAGTAATTTGCACGTGTTTTAGGTCGGTTTGGTTAAAAAAGCTTTAGGTCCGTTTGGCATCCTTTCAGAAATAAATAGGTTTTCCGACCTAAGATATAGAGATATATTTAGGTTGGTTGAGCATATATATTATGTCGGTTTACCATGAATTTAAAGTTGGGTTGGTGACAGTTTTATGGTCTGTTAAGCAATAATTCAAATTCCCGAAATAATTCAAATTCCCGAAATAATTCAAATTCCCGAAATAATTCAAATGCCCGAAATAATTCAAATTCCCGAAACAAATCAAATTCCCGAAATAATTCAAATTCCCGAAATAATTCAAATGCCCGAAATAATTCAAATGCCCGAAAAATTAGTTAAACACAATTTTTTCGTCTTTTGAGATAAAAATGCGCGATTTTTGATCGTTTCTTTACCATTTGTCCCAAGGGATGTAAGCTGGGGGAATCATGTGCTGGATGTTGGTCAAAAGGCAGTAAAAATTAATATTGCAGAGAGAATGGTTGGGGTGGAGAACATGAAGGAAGAAAATGATAAAAAATATTGATACTAATGACGAGATTCAAGAAGAAATCTATCCAGCGTTTACGGTAGAAGATACAGTGTATTATAGGAAGACAGCCATTATTATGATAGAAACTCGAGGTATGATAAAAGATAACAAAATATAAGTATTAATAATATTTTTTAAAGATGAAGTATCTTAGATTATAATTGCATAGATCATAATTTGAATTAATGTTTTGTAGAGGGAATGGATGGAATTATGAAGGAAGAAGCAAAGATTGAAAATAATGAGATTAAAGAAGAGACTCCGGAAGAAATCCTTCCAACCCATACTGTAAAGGATATATTTAACCTTGGTAAACAGGAAGAACGTGTCAAGATTGAAATTACGGAAACTGAAGGTAGGGCTTAGAATTTAAATAATAATGGCATACAACATGCATATACAACATACACAAAATACAATCCAAACCAAAATAGGGTTAACACAGGTTTGGAGCCTTATTCTTTAAAAGTCTTAAAATTGTGTCTTTAAAGTTGTACAATTAAACTTACTCTAAGGAACTTGGTGAAAGAAGTGGTAAAATCTTCAACTCCTAGACCTATAAACTAAAGTATAATTAGATTAGAAGGAAGCTCTTTTGCTCTTTGATAAACTGAGGATCCATATTTAAAACCCTTTTTCAAAATAATTGATGAATTTGATCGTTAGTTCGGCTTATTATGGTAAGGAAGATTATTGTTACTTTTTAAGCCATTATTTTAAAAGAAATATTCGGTAACTAGGCTTTCAGAGTGCTTAGCACCCATCTTCTATTTCAACTGTAAACATGTTCTCTTTGCTTACATTGTAAAACAAAACAAAAAAAGTTCGCGGATGAATTTTCAAAATTTTCAAAAATTTAATGAAAATCAATTTTTGTTTGAAGCGTATTTTTTTTAATTTTGGTTATTCATAAACCTTCCCTGGGGCCACGTGAGGTCCTACAACAATTTTGGACCGGATTGGTTCAGCCGTTTTGACGTTTATTGGATACAAACAGGCAAGCAAAGTATGTATATAGATTGAGAGCAATTATAACTCTGATAATTTGACTCTGTCTAACAGAAACAAGGCTTAGAACATAATATTATGCAAGACAGAAGATCCTTATGTTTTGGGCAGTTGCCCGAGGAATTTACGTGCACTTGCCGCGTTGAATTACAAGAGAGAGATTAGTATATAGTTTAGGGATAGGTTAGGTTAAGACACTTTCCGGGCCGAGCGCTTCGGCTAGGCGCACGTAACTTTCTTGGGCTTCTGCCCATTTTTTGACACAAATGAGAGACTTTTAAATGAGTTCAAGGCTTTTTAGGTCTCCCAGTATTGCTTGATTTACTTCACAGAACAAGAACTCCATTCCTAATTTTTAATCATTGAAAAATATATTGTTCAGATGAAAAAGCAATATACGAAGAGGATTGCCTGCTGTCTGAGTCTATAACAAAAAAGAGGAAACTAGAAAAATATTCTTGTGATAAATGTGAGTTTACTGCTATGTTTCCAAGTAAGCTGAAGGAACATATTGGAAGGAAACACGAGGGAGTGAGATATCCTTGTAATAAGTGTGAGTACTCTGCAACTGCAGTTGCAGATCTGAAAAGACACGTTGCGAATAAACATGAAGGGGTGAGATATCCTTGTGATAAATGTGAGTTCACCACACGTACAGAAAATCAGCTAAAAAATCATAATAAGAAAAAACATGAAATAGTTCGATATCCCTGCAGTAAATGTGAGTTTATCGCCACGTATCCAAGTAAACTGAGGGAACATAACGAAAGAAAACATGACGGATTGCGTTATCCATGTGATAGGTGTGAATACGCGGCAACTACGACGCAAGGTCTCAAAAGACATATTTGGTATATACATGAAGGAGTGAGATATTTCTGTGATAAATGTGAATTCAGTGCACGTACACAAAGTCAAGTAAAATCACATATTGAAATAAAGCATGAAGAAGCTAGATATTCTTGTGATAAATGTGAATTCACTGCAACTTATCCAAGTAAGCTGAAGGAACATGTTGAAAGAAAACACGACGGTGTAAAGTTTCTATGTGATAGATGTGAGTATGCTGCAACTACAGCTCGAGATCTTAGGCGACATATCGAGAGTAGACATGAAGGAGTAAAATATCTTTGTGATAAATGTGAGTACGCTGCCACTTTTTCAAATCAACTAAAAGTCCATATTGAGTATGAACATGAAGGTGTGAGATATCCCTGTGATAAATGCGAGTTTAATGCAGCTACAGCAGGCCATCTGAGAAGACATAAGGAGAATAAACATGAAGGAGTGAGATATCCTTGTGATAAATGTGAATATGCTGCAACTACGGCAGGCAATCTTCGAATGCATATTGTGAGTATACACGAGGGTGTTAGATATCCTTGCGATAAATGTGAGTTCACTGGGGCAACACCAAGTCGATTGAAAAGACATGTCGATAGTATTCATGAAAAAGTAACGTTTCCTTGTGATGAATGTGAGTACGCTGCAACTCAAGTCGGAGATTTGAAAAGACATAAGACAAAAAAACATTAGCAAAGATTTTTCTTATGTCTTTTATGTTTTAACTCTTATATAACCTTTTCACTTCTGAAACCCCAATGCTCTCCAAACTTTATTTTACATAGTTCACTCAGACTGTAAAATGTTATGGAATCAAGGTTTTGCTTTTAACAACGCCTGAAAAGTGAACATTCCTAAAATTGTTAAATAATTTCATGGAAAAATGTACTATTTTATAATCAAAACAAGTTCTTTCAATTTTTTTATTCTACAAAGTACAATTTTTATTCTAAAAGTACAATTAGTTTAATTGATTATGAAGTATCGTTTAAAAACGTTATTATTTAATTATTTTGTTGTAATGTGTTTAGAAAAATTTGAATGTTGAAAAATTGATTTCTGAAAATATTCCAGAGAGACTGTTTGGAACTTTGAAGATGAAAATGAAGGAGAAATATTTATAGCTAAAGGAAAAGAGAGTTTCTACAATGTAAGAGGAAATCTTTTCTTTTGCCTGAGAGGATACATGTACTGTATATTTATGGAAAGAAGATAGAAATATGGAAAATACAGGAATTCAAGGTAAAGTTTTTATGTAACTATTGTGTACGTTATCATTCTTACTCACTTCATGGTGAATTTTATTATGAACCTGCTATAAATTAATCATCGTGCTATAAAGTAAAATAGGCTGTACAGTTTGGCAGGTGTGCTATAAAGTTTTTACGACAGAATTTTTTTCTGTATCTTGAAGGTTATCGCCTTTTTAGATTATAATTCGTCCCTCGCTAAAGCTCGGGACAAAATATAATCAAGAAAGACTCAACTTTCTTGATAAAGAGAAAATTTATAACACTGCGAACCAAAAAAAGTGTTATGAATAGTAATTATAACACTGTGTTCTCTCCAGCGGTGCAAATTTTCCTGAAAAATTTAAATTCATTTTCCATCCAGCAGTTTGTGGTGAGCAAAAACTTTTTAAAGATTTTTTTTCGTTGAATTGGGTAAAATAAATGATTTTAGATAAAATAAAGGAATTTTTAAGTAAGAAAGATAAAAAAACTTTTCTCTTCATGTGCAATTTTTCATTTTCCCCCTCTAAAAATCATTAACCTTTTTGCGCCAAAGAGGGGGGTAATTATTACTAATATACATACCCGGTTCTGTCTGTGCTTTATATGAATTTAATATTTTCTAGTGTTGCATAGAAATAATGTTACTTATACTCTTGAGGCTTATTTCAGTTATTTTTATAATGCATTCTTATTTCTCCCAATCATATCTTTCTTTCTTTATCTGCTTTATTTATTCTATTCCATTTTTCATTTTCTTATTTATTATTATTCTTGGTTGTCTTTTTTTCTTATTTATCATATTTATACTTTTAATTTCCATATTACTCCTATTCTTATTATTATTTTCTTATTTATTTAATTGACTTATAATCAATTCTTATCTATCCTTATTCTTTTTTCTTTTCTTATTTGTTCTGATCTTATTCATTTTATTGTTATTTAGCCTATTTTGAATCATCCTGTTTATTTATCCTGTTTCTATTCATCCTTATTCTAATTTATTTATTCATTTATTCTCATTCTAAAACATTATCATTAAAAAATCGAAATTACAAAAATATTGTCATTTACTTTACTTAAGAGAGAACTACTGGAACCGAAAAGAAGAAAGTAAAGATGGAAAATACCGAGATTCAAGAAGAAATCCGCCCCTTCTCTACTGTAGAGGATACATGTACTGTGTATATAAAGGATGAAGATGTTAAGAATGAATCTCATGGTAAGCTAACTTACTGTTAAGACAAAACAATTTACCAACTAAAACCGTTGGGAGGGGGGGGGGG